TTCCATATATGACTATCGATAGACTCAATTAGAATTTCTATACTTAATGGAAATTATCAGAAATTCATATTGTCTTTATGTCTCTGTTCCACATAATCTCATTATGCGTAATACACTCATTTAATATCTCGTCATATTAACATAATGAGAATGACATATATTACTAATGTTTTAATTAAAGATTTTGAACTTTAATTAAATTCATTACGGACGTCGTTTTTTTTTATTGTTATCCTTAAACATTATCCTCTCGCATATAACACTTATATACAATGTTTAAGGTCACATAAATAATTATAGAATTTTCATTGATGTTCATAAAATATTCATAAATATGTGCACATAAAATGATGAATAAACTCTTTTATTAAATAATTAATAAATGTCCTATTATATCTCATGCATCTAGGACACCATTCCCAACAGTCTGCAGAGAGAGAAGAAAAGAAAGGAAGAGGATAGAGAGGAAAAAAAAAAGGAAAAGAAAGAAAGAAAGAAAAAAGAGAAAGGAAAAAGGAAAATAAAAGAGAAAAAATATATTAAAGGGTATTTAGAGGAAAAATGATAAGTAAGTGTATTTTCAAAACTTCTGGGTGTAAAAACTGAAAGTAATTAAAATTTCTTGAAATAACTTAAAATTTTAATGTTAAGAAAATTTTTAATGACATGGTTAGTTAAGAAAATCAATATTAGGCACACTAATATATCACAATTAACATAATTAAACATGCTTAATTCTTCCGGTTGTTACACTTCATTATGAAAGAATGGATTTCGTCTTGTAAATTATTATTCCCAGCTATTTATTTTACTATGCTCTCAATATACAAAGACTTTAACATTATTCATATGTGTCATTAGTCAATATGTCAAATAACATAATATCATAAATGGAAGTCTATTAATTACTACGAATTAAGATTAATTCATATATGACCATCATTGATTAATATTGAATACTCTATTTAATAACGGAATTTATTAGATATTCATAATTAATCGCGTTCTGATCATATATAATCATATTACATAAACTGCTTTCATTCCAATTATCTCATTCTTAACAATCTAGGATAAGATTGTTTCATTCAGATTGTAATGAACTGCACTAGTAATTTTAAATTAAACATCCTAACTTTAATTTATAATTATAGACAAGTTTATATTATTTTACTTCAAACATTATCCTCTGCATATAAGATTTATATACAATATTTAAAGTTACATCTAAAATAATTTAGCGATTTTTTATATTTATAAAACATCACATGCATGCAAAATAATATTAAAAAAAATTCCTCATTTCATTAATAATCTATAAAATATTTATATCTTATTTAATTTAGAGTACGTACCCCAACAATTAGAAAGAATAACTCACTAACTATTACAAATTTGAGAGTAAATGACACCTATTTAAAGATATTTTATGGAAAAAAATCATCTAATATACTAAAAAAAGGCAATATTACAATTTCTGAGTTTCATAAATCCGTATGCACACATTAGACAACTGTCATCTAACGCCAACCTTGTATTTGACGGGGGCCTGTTAGAGATAAGAATTAGAGCCGTTAGATTAGTTTTGAATCGGATTAGTTTGTTATAATGTTGTACACGTGTCAGTAGATTAGTGGATTAATTTATAATTAGTTAGACAAAATTCTGACTATTTTAGCTGCTTACTGTACATTTCATTTTGTTAATGAAAATAAGTATTTTCACCAGAAAAGCTTTTCTTCTTTGTGCTTAATAATCAATTAATTTAATTAGTAAATTTAAGATTAATCAATAAATGTAAGATTGTCAATTAATTTTATTCGATAATTAAATAAGTGATTTACGAAAACGGTCATTTTTTTCAACCTGAGATTCGGTAATTTTTTAATTTCCTCTTCAAAGTTCAACCGTATTTCTAAATTATTATTTATGTTCTCTTTATATCTCTATATACGGGTCGAAACTACATCGTTCTTTTCGCTTATTCAAATTCAGAATTTGAGTTTTGCTACAATAAAAAGCTCTTATAAACAGTCACATTTAACTTTTTTGCTACAGTAAAAAGCTTTCACACAACATCACATCTCAACTCGAATTAGCAAACCGAACGGGCAAAAAATGTTCTCCGTCATCAATTAATCAGATAATAGAAACACCAATGCTGACTTGTAGAGCTTCAAATTGCAGAAATATCGCAATCCCAATATACAATCGGTTTTACTAGTAAAATCGAATGAAACGCTAAAGGGGAATAGACTTCGAAATCAGACTTCTAAATAAGTATACTAACGATTAAATACACAAATTTTTAACGAAACCTCCCAAATTCATGGAAAAATTAGAGCGATCAAGATTGATAAAATCATGGAATCATGGCTATACAAAACACCCTAAGCATCAAAACTAGCAGACCAAAAACAAAACCGTCTTTATTATAGACGAAAACACAAAAAAAAAAAAAAAAGAAAAGAAAAAAAAAAGAAAAAAAAGAAGAAGAGCCCGAGAGACGACGATGTAGAACTACCACCTAAATAGCACTAATGCTAGATGTAACTTTTTAATAGTACTAATTGGATGTGACAATTTTATAAACACATTATCAGATAAAATACTGACAAATAAAAGAATGGCAATTTACAACTTACAATTTATATGCGATAAGATTCTATCTTTAGTTTTATTTCTCTAAAAGATAATCTCGTTTTTTCACAACTCGATCGGATATAGAGTCTGCAAAGGTACAGTTTAGACCGAACTAAATGGGGCCGAAAGATCTCTTTGGACCCAGGACCAACCCGAAAAAACATTGAGTTGGCTCAGCCCAGCCCAAACCCCCAGGTCGAGTGGGCCTAGTTTATAAGCCAATAAGTATTTTCAACGGAAATAGTAGAAAATAAGTCAATATGAAAGGCTTAAGGAAATATATAGGTCAACTTTTAGTTATAGAAATTAATAGGTCATAACTTGTCAAGTTATGGTTCATAACCAGATAAGTTATGGACAAAATTGTCAAGTTATGGTTCATAACCAGACAAGTTATGGACAAAAACTGTGATTTATGGACAATAACTTGTCAAGTTATGGTTCATAATTAGGCAAGTTATTGACAAAAACAATAATTTAACATATTTATTAACTTATGTAAACTATTGACCTATTAATTTTAATTTATCTCTGACTTATTTTCCTCTTTTTTCCTTTCAAGCCGGCTTAAAGTTTAATTTTTAATTTTTTTTTTAACCTCCCAAAATTAAATTCTGGCTAGGTCGTCCGGTTTTAGCCCAATGAGCTAGAGTGCCTGATATGGACTGACCATCCAACATAAATATGCCCAACCTGAAAGCTCTCTTCCGGCCGCCGGACCCGGGCCTGAACTTTCACCAATCCAATGAATCTATCCCTATAATTCCTTCTTTATTAGGAAAAGAAAAGTTTAAACTTAAAGCAAAAAACGACACTAGAAGCGGTTGACATTTTGACAATCAGTTACATTTGAAAACGAGTATCTTGCCCACTAACGAATCGTAACGGCTTTCCTTTCCTCCAAAGCTTATCAAAGGGCCCATTTTCACGAGTCAAGTTGCCACTGCCAGCCATCTTTTATCCCCTTCTTCCCCTTGAATAAACCTCACTCACATTTCAACTATATAACATATATATACATACACACACACGTATGTATATATGTATATACTTACACCTGTTTTAACGTTTGTACACCTGTTTTTAACATTTGTCATTCTCATTCAAATTTTTTGTTTTTTTGTTTTTTTTTTTGTTTTTTTTTTTGGCTCGCCCGTGACATACCAGTGATTGGGTGTCAATATATGTTGTTTATCTTTTTCTGTTTTTTAGAAGGAAGGAGGTTTTTGGACATGGGTTTGGTCTCAGTCTGTATAATTGCACTTCATTTGGTGCTCAATTTGAGCTTATTAAGTACTAGTGCTTCCATAATTCCAACGACACTTGAGGGACCTTTTAAGCCCGTGACTGTGCCGCTCGACAAAAGCTTTCGCGGCAACGCTGTCGACTTGCCAGACACCGACCCTCGTGTTCTGAGAATCGTTCAAGATTTCCAGCCTGAACAAATCTCTGTTTCTCTCTCTACAACTTATCGCTCTGTTTGCTATTGATGGATTACTGGTTAATTTCTCTCTCTCTCTCTCTCTTTCATTTTTAGTGTTTACTGTTGTTCAAATTTTTTTATGTTTTTTATTTGAAAAAAAAAAAAAAAAAAAAAAACTGTTTCCAATTATAGAGTAAACCATTAAAAAATTAATGTAACGGGTAAAACAAGAGTTCCAAAGGGTAACGAAAATGATTTTTTTTTGTTTTTTAATACGGTGTGGGACTTATGATTCTGAATTATGAAGGGGACGTTTGTTTTCTATATTCGTCCATGAAGATTCATGATTTTTTACAGTATTTTCTCTCATAAAAATATACGTAAAATGAGAATGATTTTAAATCATTGAATACATAAATCAAACGTTCTCGAAGGTTCTCGAATTCTGATGGACACACTCACACGCTCAACCACTTGAGACTACTCAAGTGGCAACGAAAAGGGTAATTCCTATTGTATTTCTGGCTTTTTTTTTTCTTATTATAATCAAGAAAATGTAAGCTAGGAAATGGTGGAAGATATGGCACATGAAGTTGAAATCAGTTAGGCTATTTGGAATCTAAGAAGTTTTACTTGTTTTTTTCTTCTACAAGGGAAAAAGAAAAATGAAGCAAGGATATCAATGAAATTGAAGGAGTGCACTGCTAATTTCTTTGTCACCATGTGTAGTGAACAAAGTTTTTAAATTCTGTTTTATGGGTGTGTTATTAGAATAATAGGATTTCAGGAAAAATATGGCAAAGAAAAACGATAAATAGAACACATATGACATTCTGTTTAACTTGACTATGTTAGAGAAAGAGTATAAGATGATGTTACAACTCTCATAGAGTATAGTATAACTAGGCTTCACTGTACAACTCAACATAGAAAATCTCTCTTTCTCTGTCTAGTTTCTCTCACCATGTTTGATATTGTAGGAGAGTTTCAAATTGGAGACGACATAAGCCCGTTGGATCCCGATTCAGTAGATAGCGTAGTTGTGTATGGATTGTATGGACATCCACTTACTCATCAAGCAACAGGTTACTCTCTTGTGTATAATCAGCTCTATCCCTATGAAGGCCTTCAGAACTACACTTCTGGGATTATACATCATGTTCGTCTCACAGGTATGCACATTGCAAATCTCACATCTACATGAATTAATTTCACATTCTTATTGTAGATGAGTTATTTTGTTCAGCTGCATAGCTTTACATTTCTCATTCTTTTGGGAGAAGTCTAGTTTTGGTGAGTTTGAGATTGATTCTGCTTTTAAGAAAAAAAAATTTATTGGTTTTCATGTGAATTGCAATTCAAGAGCTAGCTTTTTAAAAATACTTTAGAAGTACTGTATTGATTTTTGTTAAATGTAAGTTGGCTTTTGTAGTAATCACTTTCAGATTCATCTACTGAACATGACTGTAGCTAGAATTTTCTGCAAGAATAAAAAACGCATCTCTACAATCAATCCCTTTGGCAAGGGATTGCTTTTGCAGCTTCTAAAAGTGATTATCATGGAATTTCAATCACAACAACATGTGTTCATCAACCGTGCTTTTTGTTAGATTATTCCACAATCTACCACATTAGGAAGCAACTTCCAAAAGTAAGTCTGTTTGGTAAAATGTTTCTAAAGTAATTGACACAGAATCAAACCACTTTTCATAGCAATTTTGAGAAGCTAAAAAAGAAGAATCAGAAATTTTTTAAGAAGCAGATCAATACTAAACCAATATATTTAAGGGTTGTATAATTTCTGTGTTGGTATGACTTCAAGTAATCTTGTTTTAAACTTAGCCATGTTAAAGATTTGTCGCAGAAGCTACACTTATTAACAAACCAAATACAATTATACATTAAAACAATACCATTGCTAATTTACAGTTTACAATTTTGCAGGATTAAGACCAAACACTCTATATCAGTATCAATGTGGAGATCCTCTACAAGGAATGAGCAATTTATATTACTTCAAGACTATGCCAGTTTCTGGTCCCAAGAGCTACCCCAGCAGAATAGCAGTAGTTGGCGACTTGGGTCTTACATACAATACTACATCAACAGTTGAACACTTGACAAGTAACCATCCTGATCTTATTCTATTGGTCGGTGATGTCAGTTATGCGAACTTGTATCTCACAAATGGAACTGGAGCTGATTGCTACTCTTGCTCCTTTCCGCAAACTCCCATTCACGAAACTTATCAGCCTCGCTGGGATTATTGGGGAAGGTAAAACTGTCTCTTTTGCAGTTTTCCTGAACCATTATCAATCGTGTGTGTCTCACCACTGTATGATGAGAAAACCATGAAAAATTCTTCACGTGCTGAGATGTTTGTTCTCAGGTACATGCAGCCTCTAATTTCCAATGTCCCAATTATGGTCATAGAAGGAAACCATGAGATAGAACTACAGGCCGAAAATCAAGCCTTTGTTGCATACAGTTCTCGGTTTGCATTCCCCTCGGAAGAGAGTGGATCATTGTCTACGTTATACTATTCTTTCAATGCAGGAGGAGTACACTTTGTAATGCTTGGCGCCTACGCACCCTATGATGAAACATGTAAGCTCAAGGATCTATACTGATTTACATTTTGAGGTACTTAGCACCTATTTGTTTGAATCAAGATTCCCACTTTAACTGGGAATCTAATGCATTATATAGATCACATTGTTTCACGGGTTTGGATTTTGAGAAAGAGAAATCCGGATCCGTACTTCAAATGCATCACAGACACAACTGTTTTAAGATTATTCTCATTGTCCCCCCCAACACACACACACACACAGCTGATCAGTACAAATGGCTGGAGGCAGACATGGCTAGCGTCGACCGAAAGGTGACACCATGGCTTGTGGCTACATTCCATGCTCCTTGGTACAGCACCTATATAGCACATTACAGAGAAGCAGAGTGTATGAGAGTAGCTATGGAAGACTTGCTTTATAAGTGTGGTGTTGATATAGTCTTCAATGGACATGTAAATCTACATCATAATTCCTGGTGACTGTTTACAAGTTTTCTCACTTGACCTTTTGTCAGGGCAATAAAATCTGTCTGAGAATTGTTTTGTTCTTGGAATAATGACAGGTTCACGCCTATGAAAGGTTGAACCGAGTGTATAATTACACTCTGGATCCATGTGCTCCTGTTTATATCACTGTTGGTGATGGTGGGAATAGGGAGAAGATGGCAATCACACACGCTGACGAACCCGGGAACTGCCCCGAACCATCTACAACCCCAGATACATATATGGGTGGGTTCTGCGCCTTCAATTTTACATCAGGTCCAGCAGCAGGGAAGTTCTGTTGGGATGAGCAGCCTGAATATAGTGCATACCGAGAAAGCAGCTTTGGTCATGGGATTTTAGAGGTAATATCTGTCGCACAAGAAAGAAACAGACAAACAAAGTTTTGCAATACTCACAGATCATTATCTATATGCTCACTGTCTGGTTCATTACTCAGAAAGAAATCTGATATTTATTTTTCTGATGAGCATTAATTAAAAATAATAATAATAATGTAGAAGGTTTGTTAGACAGGGCCTTCAGTGCCTTTTCCTATATTTGATCACATCCCAGTAACCACGATCCACAACTAGAAACTGTATATTTTAATTAACAATTGTTATTCATAGTGAGGTGTTTAATCGGTGATTGTGAAGGTCGGTTTCGTAGTTAAGTCTCCGAACACTTGTTACAGAAGGATTAAGTAGTGTTGAACATGAGAATTGCCGTGTCTAAGTTCCGTTTATTCGAACGAAGGCTTTAACTAAGCTGACTAAAATATTTTTGTCACTTGTAGGTGAAAAATGAGACTCATGCTTTGTGGACTTGGCACCGGAATAGGGACTTGTACAGAGCTGCTGGAGATCAGATTTACATTGTAAGACAGCCTGAGAAATGCCAAGTTGAGTAGTAGTTGAAGATGGCAAAGATGAAGCAAGTTACAGGAGAAGAAAAATATCTTAAACCACAATCATGACCAATTCCTATACAAATATATGTTCAACTTAAAGATTGAAAGACCCAGTAGAGACTTCTTTGAGAGACTGTAAGATATTTCACTGGGTGTGCTCTGAGTTTTTACTGCAATAAAATCTGCAGTCCATGTACCACAATCAACTTATATTTTGTCTCTCTGATTTTTAATTGCTTTTTCTAAGTGACCAAATTCCCAAGTCATGACCATAAGAATAAGTGGGTATTCACATTGGAAAATTCAGTGGCCAAGATTTCATTTTGTTAGAATATAAACTTTTTTTTTTTTTTTTTTTTTGAAACATACATGTATATAGAGCATACAGTGTCCCTACTTTTAAGGCCTATAATTGCACTTATCAAGTGTTAAGCCTTTTAATTAATTTGGATTTATAATTTAATATTCAGGCCGATATTTGCTCACTAGTACACATTGTCCTGAGGAGAAACTTGAGTTTTTGTAAGAATTACGCCCGTTCATTTCACCGATTCGAGTTTAAAATTCGAGTTTTGCTACAATAAAAAGCTTTAAAAAATAATCACATCTAACTTTTTTACTACAGTAAAAAACTCTCACATAAAATCACATCTGAACTCGAATTAAAAACTTGAATCAGCGAATTAAACGGGCAAATTTTTTTTTTTTTTTTGTTTTAAAAAAAAGGCAAGGAAAGAAAAAAATTGATCAGCTAACTCAAGCAGAGTGTTTAGTGGAATGACCAAGAAAACTTGTAACAGTTAAAATGAATGTTGAGCTACAAAGTGTGTTTAATTAAGCTCTGCTCCTTCTCAAGCTAGATTAAATAAATACTCGGCCAGTCAAACTGAAGCATTTCACATTAGAAGAGAAAATATACCAAAAGATCAAGCGCTATTTAGTAAAGCTTGATTTGTAGTAATAGACAAGGCTGCCTCCAGCTTCTAACAAAAATTTGCAAGCCTCTTCTCCTCACTAGGATCATGCTTAGGAAGAGAAGACATTCGAGGGATTTTAAGCTCAATGAATGATAACAAATAAAAAGGAAAGTGTTTTCAAGAGTGTCGGGATCATGAGTCTGGATGATGCTCTTGAATTGTCAGTATCATCGGGGATCGTTGGAGTAAGTCCTGGAGTTCCAGGAGTCAGTCCGCCTGTACCGTCACTGCCAAAGGCCGGTGTGGTTGTCGTTGGCGTCGTTGAGGTAGGGTTGTTTGTCGATGCGGTGGTCGGCGTACTACCCCCAGCCGTGCTGTGAATTTTGGAAAAAAACTAAGTTGTTAGGTCCTAATTTAAGTAAGGCAAAAGCTAAAGCAACAATCTTCCTATGCAAAAGCAATGCCACAAACAATTGTTAAAACTTAACCTAGAAAAAAAGACATAAATAAACACCCAAGAAAAAAAACAAAGACAAAAATATATATATATGTTTCATTGCTCACTGAGGTTAAGACCCTCCAAAAGCCATTTTGGAACAAGAGGAACAGAGAAAATAATAACAATAATGATAATAAAATAATATAATATATCAATAGTAACAAAAATAACAACAATAATTACCATGAAAGAGGACAATAAAAGTAGATTCTTCATACTGACGACCAACTAGCATTTTCAAATGCTTTCCCCCATTACTTGCCTTTTATGGATTCTGAAACAAATTCTCTTCAGTAATACACCATATATTTTATTGGTTGTTAAAGCTTCTGCTTTCTATTTCTTGGTCGTAAAAACTAAAAGTTGGAACATTTTTCTTAGAAAATGTAGTAATTTTTTTGGGCGTACCATATTCTAGAGACCGGAGACATATGGAAGTATTATTATGGGATGAGCACAAACGTCTTTTTACATTATTTATCACATATTACTTAATAATGAGGTAGGCATACAGTATTATTTTTATGATATTATATGTGATAAGTGTGCCTATTTTGTCATGTGCTATATGATTGTGTGTTTTGCCTCTCCAGCTTCAAGACACACAGAAGTCTAACCTCATGTACCGGCCACTACCATAAAGAATGCTTAATCTTTCATGTCATACCCACCAAATCTGCATCCTTGGCAAATACGTCAAATGAAATTTTAGTAGATATGGTCCGATCAAGTCTACTTTATGGTAGTGACCAACATATAGGTTGCAGTTCTACTTTTGTGTCTCCATAAATTGCAAAAAATAAAATGGGCAATCATGTAACACATGACAAAAAACATCCATCATCACATAGTATATTTGATAAAAATCATCATGCATACCAACATTATTATCAAATAGTACACAATATACGATATGAAAAGACGATTTTGCCCTTCTAATATCACTACCATGTGCTTTTATCGCGACACTATGATACATTCAAAAAAGAAAAGGCGCGACCCAGAAAATCCTGACCACATTAGTCTTAATTGAGAACCTATGAGTGTGTTCAGCTGTCTAAAAAATTCAAAAAAAATACAACTCAAGTTCTAATTCCTGACCACATTAGTCTTAATTGAGAACCTATGAGTGTGTTCAGCTGTCCAAAAAATTCAAAAAAAATACAACTCAAGTTCTAATTTTATTCAAGTTCATGTTCTTTTAAGTTTCAACTCGAGTTTAAACTCGAGTTTGGGACTAAAACTCGAGTTCAAGTGTCCCCTTCAACTAGAATTCAAAACTTGAACTCAACTTAATGAACAGTATTTTTTCTATTCTTAAAAATACTATAACTTTTTCGTATTAATCCTGATTGAGATGATTTTTTTTTATGCGTTGACAACAAAAAGACGAATAAAACCCCACCCATATATCCTATTGAAATTTTTCATCACCATTGAGTTTTTATTAAAATACTATCTAAATATAAATTTAAGTTTTGACTCACTCAAACACAAACTCAAAAAAAGATTTTTATCTCAAACAATAACTCAAATGTACACAACTAAACACAAACTCAAGTTACAACTTCAACTCAAATTATAACTCAAATTCAACTCAAAAAATACACTTAAATCACACTCCCTGTGTACATCTCAACTTGAGTGAGTCGAGATGTGAGATAAGAGTTGGATTTTATTTCACATCTCCCGAGTCGAAATGTTCATTTGTAATTAAAAATAACACCTCTATTAAATCACATGAGATTAAAACTCCATCACTCATAAAATGCGAGCCCGTTTAAGGAGACTATCAACAGAATTTGTTCATGAGTGATGAGATTTTAACCTTGTGTTACTGAATAGAATTTTTATTAAAAAAGTTATACAAATGACCAGAAATTCAAATAATAGCCTGACAAAAATTAAAAATAACGCCAGTTAAAGGACCTGTGCCCTGTGGACTAATGTGGGCCATGTAACAAAATGATGCAAACGACATGGGTTAATAGATTCAGATTGATTAGAAAGTGCCTTGCACAGAACACTGCCTCTACCTCTATTGATCAGTCGCTGTACGCATATGGTCAAAAACAGTGTTGCATCATTACACCAGATTCTGTCAAGTACCATATAAATGCTATATCTGACCGTCTATCGAAAAGCCTAAAAGCCCATCCAACGGTGTAAGTTTAAAGGTGAAGCGTTAAATCCAAAATAGTACCACATCCTTGTTCTTCGGATCTAAATAAATAAAAAAATAAAAGGAAAAAAAAAAAAAAAGAGAGAGAGACAATGGTACAAAACAAAGCGAGCAACCCCATTTTTGAAAAGAGATTAGATGGGACAGACAACATATCAGGACCCGCGTTACTAGAGAATCAACGGCTAGATTTCAGATGCCATCACCAACGTCCCATGCAAAGGGCACGTGTCATCAATCCAACGGTCTTTAATATTCTCTCTATTTCCTTTGTCCCTCCCTCGTACACACTCATTGCAGTGAACAAAGCCAACAGGAATAATACCAATATGGAGTAGACAGTAATGATCTCTCAAAATATTCGTCAAGAAAATAAGAACGAACCCAGAAAAGGAAATGAAAGAAATAGACCAAAAGACCTATATTGCGTGAAGATGAAGAAATCTAAATCCAAACCGAAACCCAAACCAGCATTATACATGTACGCACAATACTAAAGTGGTTTTTTTTTTTTTTTTTTTTTATCATTACCAAGATTTTCAAGGAAAAAAAGAAAAAAAGAAAAGAAAAGGCATTAAAGCATACCTTACAGAAGACGGATACACACAAGATCCATAACCTACACCAAGAGAACACAAATTCACTCTCTATTTCATATAACACGTAAACTTTGTAGTATTTTTTTTTTTCTTAATATTACATGATTATGATGTGATCTGACGGTTCAAATATGTAAAGCTTACTGGGGTCGGACTGGGCGACGGTGGCGGTGCCAGAGAAGTCGCAGGAGCCGGGGGACATGGCCTTGCGCTGGTAGTAGCTGTTGAAGGCGTAGGAGGCGTGGGCCTGGATGGTGTTGGGGAGGAAGCAGAGGCCGTTCGCCTGCAGAGGCAGGCAGTCGGCGCCGGCACTGCAGGAGTAGTCCAGCGCCGTCTGTAGGGCCAGCGTGCTGGCGTCGCTGCGAGCCACGCACCACGTTGATGCCGCCACGGCGGTGTCAGAGTTGATAGTTCCAAGGACGATAAGGAAGCATATGGCCAAGGAGAGAGAGGTTGTAAATAGTGGTGCCATGGAGGAGAATAAAGTGGAAAGGAGGCCTTATAGAGGTAGTGAGAGAATGAGTGAGTGATGAAGGATAAGTGAGTTGGTAAAGGAGGAGAGAGAGAGATGTGCAGGGACAGAGAGTGGTGTTTTTGTGTTACACAGAGAGTGAGAGAGCTTTTTCTTTCTGTGTTTTTTTCTTTTTCTTTCTTTCTCTCTCTTTGCTGCTCTTTTCTTTTTTCCCTTGCATTGCTTAAATACTTGTTTGAATGGAATGTTTTTGTCTTTTTCTTTTTTTTTTCCCTTTTTTTATAATTAATATGTACTAGTGTATATTCTACATCTATATGTTTTTAACTGTGATATTAAATTAGGTCCGTTTACTTTATAGATTTTAATTATTAAGTTTAAACTTTTAAAAAAAGTTATTTGGGTTTGAATTTAGATCATCTTTAACGTAAATATTAATGTCAATTGTATATTTAATATTAAAAAATATTATGTGTGATTTTTATTTTTACTATAATACATAATGTTATTTAAAATATTAAATTTATTTCTTTTCTATAATTATTAAGCTTTGAATGTTATAAAAGTTTTATATTTAAAATAATTAAAAAATACAAAAGTTACGATGCTTACATAAAAAAGTAAAATTTTCAACCAATAGTAATCAAATGTCAAATTTTTCGTATTAAAAAATTATCACAAAGTATAGCATATGTGAAATTTGATACAATAAATAGCATTGCATTAGAAAATATTTTTGTACTCAAATGTTAAATTTGTAAATTACATTCAAGATGCTCTTATATGTGAGCTTTTTGTGGTTTGAATTGACATCTTATATGTGAGTTTTTTGTGATTTGAACTGACATTTAATAGTGTAAGGTTTAAACTGAGAATAAAGTTTTAAACCATTGTTTTGGTTACATCAGTAGAACTATGGGGTTTTTAAAGAAATGTAAGTGAAATAATTGGTGGGAACCTTTGAATTAGGTTTGTGAACAATGCTTTGGTTAGAACCTTTAAAACTTAAGGGGGGCAAAGTTCTAGAAAACTTTTGATTTTAGGTTGAAATGAACCCAAAATATAAGACCAAATTTAACGCTTTTGCATTTAAACATGAGTTTTTGGGTTCAAACCAACCAAAACCTTTCAAAACCTTGCAGATAAACGGGCTGTTAGGGTACAATTTTTAAGTTCTAAACAAACTAGTGTCATATCAAATAAAATAAAGAAAATTAGTAGAACTTAATAAAAATGTGACGGTTAATTAAAATGTGTTCATAACCTACTAAATAAATTTATCTTTTTATTTTCTTATGTTTAAAATAATTATGTCATAGCGGGATTGGATATGAGAAAATATCATTAGATGAGACAACAAACTCTAATGTCACATTCAAATTATAACAATTTAAATAAAAATTGTACAACGAAAAAACTATATCATAAAGTTTTTTAAATATATTCTCACAAAATTTTTCTTATTCTATATTTTTGCCTTTTGTTTTGTTTTGGTTTTTTTTTTTTTTAGAAATTCAAAATATCTGTTGGTTTTGAGTAGAGTATCAATTTAAGTCAGCTGCAACAAGCCACTCTGAAGCCTAATATTTTGGTCATGCCAATTAAAGACTCTGGCCATGCGATCCAACCCAACTTCTCGAGTCATGCCAGACTGAGAATCTAGGCCAAAAAGTATAATCAGGCTAGGTCGGCGGCCCAATTAGCCTTTTTATCAAATTCTTTTAATTTTCATATAAAATTTTAGGATGACTCAACCAAACTTTAGGGCTTGTTCGTTTGCACCCAATCTCAAAAAAAGTTTAAACTCAACTTACAACTTTATTTAAGTTTGTGCTCTTTTATAAAATTTGAGTTTGAACTTAAGTTTTAACTTAAATTTTAACTTGAGTTTGGAGTTAAAATCTTAGTTCAAGTTTCTCCTTCAACTCAAGTTCTTAAACTCATTCCTCGTTCATTTTACCGATTCGAGTTTTCAGTCCTAGGTTTCTACAGTTAAAAGCTCTTAGAAAATGTCACATCTAACTTTTTCTACTACAGCTAAAAGCTCTTAGAAAATGTCACATCTCAACTTGAATTGAAAACTCGAATCCGCAAAGCGAACGAGACCTCAAACTCAAGTTAATGAACATTATTTTTTCTATTCTTAAAAACGCTATAACTTTTTCGTTTTAATTCTGATTGAGATGATTCTTTTTTATGCATTCACAACGAAACGACGAATAAAACCTCACCCATATACCCTATTAAAATTTGTCATCATCATTGAGTTTTTATTAAAATACTATCTAAATACAAACTCAAATATTGACCCACCCAAATACAAACTCAAATTTTGACACACCCAAATACAAACTCAAAAATATTCTCATTTCAAACCATAACTTAAATGTACACAACTAAACACAAACTCAAGTTACAACTTCAACTCAAGTTATAACTCAAATTTAACTCAAGATCTATATTTAAGTCATCATAACTCAAAAATACAACTGAACAAACTCTTAATCTACTTGACTTCAGGCTAGGTTGGGCTGACCTCTACTCAATTGGATCGGCTCAATCCAATTTCATCATTCGGGCCAGGCAACCCAAATTGATACCTCTGGTTTCTAGAATGGTAAGTTGGCAATTTCCCCGATAATTGCGAGCTTGGAAAGTTAGGAGACATGGTCAAGTAGGTTTCAACTGTCTAACTGCAATCAAACAGTTTAAAGTATGCATGGATGTAGCATGAAAGTCATGTATAATAATAACTGTTCAATATACAATGAGGTGTTACATCCTATCCTCCCAACAAATTCTCCTTCTCTTTTATTAAAGTTTTAGATTCCTTAATCAGATTGAAATGTCGGAAAATGTAGTCAATAATATATTTTTAAAACTAAAGTAAATAAATAATTTTAAGTCTTAATAATTTTTTACTCGTCGTAAATGAATCATTTATCACGTAAACTGTTATTTACTTTAAATAGTTTAAAATGTGATATTTATTTAATTGAGTTTTAAAAATCTATTATTTACTATAATTTTTCAGAAAATGTTAAGATTTGTGGCCCGTTTAAAAAGTGTATTTAAATCATTATTTAGATTTTAATTCAAATTTTTTATGAGAGAATTATTAATAAAAAATTTTTTGATTTAAATTCTCTGTGAAAAGAAAATACTATACTAAAATCATAATTTAAATTTTGAGTATATGTACTAAACTAACTCCTTAATTATCCAATCGTGGAAATCAGGATCTTTCGGAAACTACTAAACAAAAGGTGCTATGGTGTTTGCCAAATGACATGCATGCACGGTGTAAAGTTGGCATGCAATACAAGGTTGTCAGTCACTTTCTCTTAACTGGTGTATTGTATGTATATGTGTGTATATACATGTCTACACCAATGAGTTTGGTTCTTTATAATTTGTGCCAAAAGCAATACATGAGAAGGCCAATGGTGTTTGCCAAATTGCATGCACGGTGCAGTGCTGAAATTTTGGACGGATCGCCCGTGATTACTGAAAAGTCTGAATTTTTACCCGATGACCGAACCCGATCTGTCCGAAAATTCGGGCTGCCGACCCGACCCAAAAATTCCCATGGACGGGCTTCGGGCAGAGGAAGCCTGCCCGTGCCCGGTCGAGCTGCCCGATGCCCGACCGGTTGCCCGAAATTTTTTTTTTTATATTATATTTTTATGTTGTTGAAATAAGTATTTGTATAATTACAATGTGTAATTGTGTATATTACAATTTGAAATATGAAATGAACACACGACACGAACGAACTATATAAAAAAAATTACTTCTTCATTGATTTTTAAATTTGTAATTCATGATTGTCTCATTAAAAACCTTACCAAGAAAAACCCAATTGGGATAAAACTTGGTAAGGAAAAAAGAGTGCAATCATTGTGTGACGAATTACAAATTTGATGAACTTACAAAGTCTATACAAGATTACAAATTACAATAAACACTATACAAATTAGAAATTACAAAGTAAATAAATATTTACAAAGAAATTATTAAGATGAAGCAAAAGGATCATCTTGAAAATTAAAAGTTAATCTATTAAATTCGTCGATCCATTCTTGGTTTGCCAGTGAGATTGTATCGTGTAAGCGTTGGTCGGAACGGTCTCAATTCTTGATGCACACAAAAGCTTTAACAATATCCTGCTGCAATGCGTTTCTCCGTTCTTCAAGTATTCGGCCGGTTGTACTGAATGCTTGTTCGGCTGCAACGGTGGAGACCGGTGATTAACGCCCAAAAGTGATATTCACAAGCGGTCAATTGTAGCACAGAAGGGCGGTCGTATCCACAGAGAGATAACAAAATAACAAGAAAGACTAACAGAATAAGAGCGTTAGAGAAAAGTGAATTAAAGAAAAAGAATAGTTTTTGAGATTTTGTTGCAAATAAAATAGAAAGGAGGGAATTTGTAATGAAGAAAATGGTAAGGTGTCGAGAATCCCTAATGCTTCGTTCACCAATTCAAGTTTTGATTCACAAAATAAAATAATCGAATAAATTAAATCTCTATGTTGGCTCAGAAAATATTATTATTACAAATTATCTAAAATCGACAATATATCAATCTGACAATATTGCAGTAAAAGACAATTTGTAAAATAATTTGAATAACAAAATAATGCGTGACATACTTACATAAGAAAAGCGTGACTGAACTTATACAAAAATTGGCACACAATATTTTAAAAAGTAATAGAAAAATAGATGAGATTTAATTTACTCAGATGTTGAAGTTTACAGAACAAGGAATCAAAACCCCGAATTGGGTCACTCAACAGAAGTTCATCTCTAACCTCACCAAGAAAACTCTAGCCTATCTTGCAAAACATTCTCACAAGTTCTAGAGAGAAAATATGA